CAATCTCGCGGCGCGTGTAGAAGAGCGAAAGCAGGTACAGAGCTCCCGGATAGAAGGGTGCTTCGAGCAATCCCAACAGCAATCGAGTCGTGAACAGGCCGGCAAAGTTGTGACTGAGCGCGGTGCATCCCGAGCACACGGCCCAAGCCATCATCCAGCAGCACATCCACACGGACGGACGAACCTTTTTGGACGCCATGACCATGTTCGACGGCATCTGCATCAGCGTGTATCCGACAAAGAGGATCGAGATGCACATGTTGTACTGATTGCCCTTCAACTTGAGATCCTTCTCGAGCCCGTTCAATCGAGCTTGGGCGATGGCATTTCTGTCCAGATAGTTGAGCGCGTAGCATGCCCAGAGCGAGGTCATGATTCGCCAATCGAGCTTGCGTACAAGTTTGCGCTCTTCCTCGGATTGCTGCGTCGCCGTTCCAAAGTGGTCGACGGGGGCTTGCTGAGCTTCCTTTTCATCGATGTCGCGAATCATGTCTCTCTCCAAGATCGGAAAGACGTGCACGGGTTCCGTAGAGTCTTTCTTGACCTCTTCTCCAGCTGCAATGTCCCTGAGAGAGCTCTTGGATGAGCTTTGCGTCATGATGTCGAGTCGTTCGTGATTCCTTATTGAGGCCGAATGGGTTTGATGGAAGCTTGAGAAAGGTGCCGTCCTCGTTTGATCGGATCGAGTGGCTTGTCCGAGAAGGGAAGCAAGTCGAGCAAGGACCATCTTTGCCCTGTTCTTATATGCGATAGACGTGCGAGGAAGGCTGGTGTTGGTGTCAATCAGGCAGTTGGGCCGCCACGAGGCAAGACGGTAGGAGGAAAGGCGACCTTAGGGAAGTGTTCCGAGTTGGAGAAAGGTCCTGCCGTTCCTGGATCCTGGGGTGCGACGGCTGTGGGTCAGGTGCAGCGTCGCAAACAAAACGTGAACAGGCAGCGTTGTTTCAGTGACAAGTCTGCGGGGCCCCGTGCTGGGCAAGCATGCTTCCGTGTGGATGAGATAGCTGAAGATCAGACGGATGCTGGTTGGGACGAGGGAGCATGCGGTGTGGGGAAGCTTTGCGGCGGTGGTGAAACAGCCTAAATCAGCAGTATAGCACTGTCAAGTCGTTTCTCAATCCGCTGGCGAAGAGGAGGGGCCCTTTGTGGGGAAGCATGGTCGTATGACGGTTCGAGGCGGATCCGTCGCCAACGCGAAAAAAGTGAGTGGCGCTACGGCTGTCCTGCAATGGTGCCGGCCGATGCTGCAACGATGGTGGAGGTCAGATGTTGGGGCACTTGCTCTCGGGCGTCTAGGGTCAACATGGGCAGAGCAGGCGGGATCTGGCATATGATCAGATTGCCTGGCCACGGGACGAGCCAAGCTGGCGGGGTAAAGGAGAAGTCGGGGCGAGGAAGCATGCTTCCGGGCGGCTATCCGACGCAACCCTGCAGAGTAGGGGCCAAGCAGCCGTGCCTGGACAGACCGCAAGAGCGCTTGGGCGCACTTGCCGAACCCTGCTGTTCCGAGATGCCACGTGAGCATGTCAGGCGCCGGCATGTGGGCGTGTGGGAGCCAATGGGCGGGGGGGAACGGATGCATGCTTCCGCGCTCCGGGGTTTGCTTCCGTGTCTTCCGCCGCTTGCATGCTTCCCCTCTTGTGAGACAACTCTTCTTCAGTATCTGGCGTCACAACGTCTCCACCGCTCGATTGAACACCAGGCTGTCGGAACCCCTGCTTTGCTTCTCTCTTCCAAGCTGTGACATCTTTATGACGATCTTACATGCAGTCCGCTCGTTCAAAAGCAGAGACGACCTGGGCGGGAAGCTGGGATCGTCTTGGAGGACGGATGCTTGCATCCGTGTCCGTCTCTCGTTCCTGAACCCTGCGGCGAATCCAGCTGCGGGGCTCCACCATACTCTTTTGGAAATGGAATTGCCCGCGCTATTCACCAGGAGCCCAAGCTGTGGCAGCTCAGGTCACGGCGTGAACGATCAGATTGCTGGCTTGGACGTATCAGCGTGGGCAAGCTTGGCGGACCAACAAGCCAGTGAGGCTGGATGGAATGCTTATAAGAACAGACGAGAACGGTTCGCAGAGTCCGTCAGGATCAAACCATCACTCCAAGCTTCTCCGTAACCAATCTCTTCGGACTCATCTTCACCTTCAAGCCAAGCCAAGCCAGCTGAGCTCTGTCAAGCCCCCATTCACGATCATGACTGTCAACAACATCGATCTCGACTTCCGCGGCATCACCCCCGCTCCCGTGACCCCCTTCAACAAGGATGGCTCGGTGGACTATGATGCCATCCAGAGGCTCGGATCGTGGCTCGGAAGCCTGCCTGGCGTCAAGGGTCTGGTTGTACTCGGTCACGCCGGTGAGGGCACCTTCCTGACGCAGGACGAGCAGGTCAAGGTGATCCAGGCTTTCGTCAAGTCGGTCGACGACCGTATCCCCATCATTGCAGGCATCACGGGCGAGGGCACCGAAGTCGCCGCGCTTGAGGCATGCCGCGCCGTCCAGGCTGGTGCCAAGGCCGGTCTGCTCTATCCCTCGCACGGCTGGCTGCGATTCGGCTACCAACCCGGTGCGCCTCAGGACCGCTACAAGCAGGTGTACGAAAAGTCGGGTCTTCCTCTCATCCTCTTCCAATACCCCGACAACACCAAGGCGACGTACAGCCTCCAGACGATGCTCGACATTGCAGCGCAGCCCGGCGTGGTGGCCATGAAGAATGGCGTGCGAAACATGCGACGATGGGACACCGAGATTCCCGTGATCCGTCGCGAGAGGCCCGAGCTGCAGATCCTGTCTTGCCACGACGAGTACCTGCTGCACACCGCTTTTGACGTCGACGGCTTCCTGGTTGGCTACGGCAACATCGCACCCGAGGCGCTCCTCGAGCTGCTCGAGGCTGGAAAGGCAAAGGACTATGCTGCCGCTCGCCGCGTCCACGACCAGCTGCTTCCGGTCACCAAGGCCGTATACCACCGTGGCTCGCACATGGAAGGCACTGTGGCGCTCAAGCACGCGCTCGTTGCTCGCGGCATCCTCGAACACGCCACCGTTCGTTCGCCACTCATGCCGCTCGAGGAAGGCGCCGAGCAGGAGATCTTCTCGGCTGTCAAGCAGTCGCGCCTCTCGCGCGTCATGTGAACTAGTTGGTGTGCATTCTCAGTCACTTACTTCCGTTCCCCCAAATGCGATCCACGATTTCTTTGAGTCGCGTCCCGGTTCTTGCTGATGGTTTGCGCGAACCTTCTGATGTTGCCTTTGAGCTATACAGGCTGATTGTGCCCGGGGATTGTGTGCTCAATTCAGATGTCATGATCCGTCTTCATAGATGCGACGTCAATTTTTGTGGTCACCGGCGACTTTGGTAACGATTCTGTCAGTCAGACGTCTCTTGGTGTCAATCGGCCAAAGTGCCAAATTGTTCGAGTAAGAGTGAGGGATTGTGTCGGCAGCCGATCCAGACTTGATGGGCTGGCCTCACATGTGAAGACGTTGTGTGCAACATCTCCGCGCCGAGGAGTTGGGTAGAAGAAGACGCCATTATGCTCAAGCCTCGGCGTATTTCGAGGCATGAAAGCATGAAAACTACTAGTCGCGTTATTCTACCCACACTAGCTTAGCGATGGTCTCTTCACTCCTAGGCTCAGTTGCGCATACAAGCGCCTTTGAGACGATGGCACTAGTACGCCGCACACCGTCATATGTCACCGGACATCGGCCTTAGTGGGTTCTTGGCACAGTTTGATGTGCAGGATTCAGCAAGCACTCTCACACATGTTCACGTATATAAAACAGGAATCTCGCACCTCCTTCTCTCAATGGATCTGCGCCCTGCTGCCTACCAAGATTCTGCATACCAAGATTCGCGGAGCGTGCAATACTCCCACACGAAAATCACGCTGGCTAGTCCTGGAAGAGGGAAATGGCTGTCGTGCTCAACAGTTCAAGCATTGCACCGTGCTCTCCCGAAGCACCCTTTGGCTGTTCTTTGGCCTACGTCAACTTGTCGAGCAGTATCTGCCCGGGTAGCCTAGTGAACGCCTCCTCGCCTTGTTATTCTTGCAAGATGCAGACGACACAAGAACAGAAGGAGTTCTTGGACAACTTGACCAAGGTCTTAGGGTCGACCTCGGCTGCTACGTGCGCCACTTCGAGTAGCGCCCCGTCTAAAGCCTCCCGCAAAGCGACCGTGTCGTCGTCTTGGTTCCTCTTGCTTGCCCTTATCTTCGCCTGCTTCAGTGCAGCTTCCGCAAAAGAAGTTGCCCTGGTGCCCGAGGTGGAGTCGCTCGTCGGAAATGTTGCTTGACGGGTGTCACGGAGAAAAAGGCGTGAGGGTCTTCAACAACTTGCTCGAGACAGGCGCACTTCCGATCTGCACCGGGCTTGTACGAACGCTCCAAAAATGTGGGGTAAGGCTTTGGTGCGTCCGAGGCAGGCCTTCTCTGCATAACAGCATTGCTTGCACCTACAAAGTCTTACTTTGGAACACAATGAAGAAGGGTGCACCATGCCAGCATCGGCCCGGATGGGGACGCCATCCAGTGAGCCGAGCCGAGCCGACGGTGGAGCGGTGGAGGAGGGAGTACCCTGTGTGTGTCGGCTGATCTTGATTCAGGCTGCCTTTGCGACAGCATTGCGGCTCTGAAACAGAGCCGAGCCCATGCGCGATCTTGCAAAGGAGCTCCACTCGCGTTCAGGCAAGGTTGGAGGAGGGTTCCCCGCAATGGAAAGCGCTGAGCCCGCCATCTGGAGGATTGCGACCCATGTGGCGTGGGTGCGAACCGGTTGTAAGTGCGGTAAAGTCGGAAGATGAGCCGGGGACCGGCGAGACTCATTTATGATGTCCTATAAAGACACGGGCAGCTTGGTCATCCAAGCCCGTTTCACAAGGCTTCCCATCGCGACCAGCCTGTAGGCTCAAAAGGACAGCATGTCGGCTTCCATCATCGTAGTCGCTTCTTTGATGGCGCGGATGGCAGGGGTCAGCGCTCTTCCCGCAACTCTTCAGGACCTCGTCGTACGAGGCAGGACGGTGAGCGGGACCAATTCGACCTATCACAACCCGGTGCTTCCCGGATGGCATTCGGACCCTAGCTGCGTCCACGTCGAAGGCGTGACCTACTGCTGCACGTCCACGTTCGAGTCGTTCCCGGGCATGCCCATCTATGCCAGCCCTTGGTGCACTGGGAGCAGATCAGCAACACGTGGAACCACGAGGAACAGCTGCCCGGCATCAACTTTGAGTCGCAAGGCCAGCAAGACGGCTTTTTTTTTGCCCCCAATCTGCGGTACGCGACGGACGGTTCTACATGGAATACTCAGGTCCTCGGCGGACCCCAAAGGTCCGACACGGACCTTACTGGCTGAATGGGTGAAATGCTTGAGTAGGAGATGAACCGCAAAGTACCTGTGTACTCCAACAGGCAGAACCTCCACTGCGGTCCTGGAACCTCAACCAGTACCATACGACGCCTGTCAGAGCATTACGAACATTCGTGCGACGACAGGAGTCCGATACGCCTCCTACGACGTTCCTACATCGTACGACACCTCTCACAACACCTGTACGGCACTCTCGACGTGG